GTAAATCGTCGTTGGTTTCGTTTGTGTTGTGAGAATCTCGATATTACGTAGGCTCGCCGCGTTTACGTATGCGCGACTCATAAATAAGAATGAACGTATTAGTATGCGTATGGTTTAGCGTCGCGAAGGATCAGCAATAGAGGTACACTCCTTCCATACATTGCTTCTTATCGATTCGCTCTTCTTGGTGCCATCCGATTCGGTATTCCAAGTCGATCTCTCTTTTTGCGGGCAGAAAATAGACGAGATTATATGACGTAATTAAATGCGAAGGTACAATAGCTTCTATCGAGCGGAAAAATAATTGCACGTACTAGTACGTTTTATAATGCAAAAGAAAAGAGGGAGGGAGAATAATGCTTGATACATTTTCGAGAGATAACTTGCAAAAACCGTATGCAAAATCTCTCCAGGTATACAAGATATCAAGTGTTACTTTAGAATAAAGATTCTGTATTTTATAGTCGATACGTGAAACGAGATTAAAATTTTTTCAGTCTTGAAAATTGTCATCTTTGCGCGATAACGACGCTTTTTTTTTAAAGAACGTTTTGTATGTACAATCCCAACAAAAAGTAGCTGAAAATCAATATTAACAAATATCCACAAATATCCTTTTGGTGTATTTTGAGTATGAGAAATTGTGTGGAATATTACAATTTGATCTTAGCTACAGTGCAGAAATGTATTTTTTAATTATTTATTGCGTTTTTACTGAAATATTCCGAATTTTGTTAATCGAAATGATTAATTTTCCAGCAGAGAATTTTGCCTTGTGACAGATACATGGCTAACTTCATTCAATTATATTTAATACTTCTTTAATCAGTTAGTACTTGTATAATATTATTTGACCAAATATTTCCTCTGTATCTAAACTTTTGCAAATTTTAAACAAATTCTGAATATTATTTCCATGTGTTTTTGAATCATTGAATCGACGTGGTTATACGTTTCCCATAAGAACACATGTTAATTCCGTGCAAATTAAAAATCCTTACAACTTGTGAACGCTTTAGTGAATCGATTTCAAAATTGTACTGAAGATTCGAAACATATGTAAGAACATTCTGCACAATTTTCATTAAATTCTCAATATTTCGAAAATATGTACAAGATATCCTTAAAGCTTCATCTTTTTCCTTCCCTCTAATTCCGGTGCTATGACTTTTCGGTGCTTGACGCGCGAAATTCCGAGCCACTTCCGAGCTTTGCGGCGAGCAAACCGAACGGCGCCTGGTATCGATTTCAGTTTTATGGAATGGAGTGCATGGCGGATGTGCTGGGGCTTCGGGAATCGCGTTCTGGCCGATTTCAATCGAGTCGATTCGAATCGCTGATTAAAACCGATCATAGGCGCGCCGACCGACCGACCGACCGACCGATCAGAGCCGGAGAGAAGCCGTAGATGGATAGATATATGGCGGCGAATTCGGACGTATCTCGGCGAGCCAACTATATCTCGTCAATGAGATAAAGCTTCGGATGGATTAAAGAAAGAGCCCGTCGCGCGCGCGAACACGATCGGCCGAGGGGACGAGACCGGGGGAGGGGGAGGGGCGACAGGAGAAAGGAAAGATAATAGGGGGAAGGAGGATGATGCAGGAATCCAACTCGCGAATGTGTTTATCTCGATCCGCCGAGGTCGCGTTACATGTTCGCCGCTGAGAAGCATTTCATCAACGTCATTCGCCCGCAGTCCTTCCTCTCGCCCTGTCGTCCTCGCCCCCCTCCCCCTCCCCCTTCCCCTCGCCTTTTGTTCCATTCCTTCTCTTGCTCGCCCGTTATCTCCGCTTTCACTCTTCCGCTTTTCGTCCCCTATCCTCCGTTTGCGGTTCTCTCTCTCTCTCTCTCTCTCTCTCTCTCTCTCTCTCGCTTTCTCTCCTCGTATCCTCTTTCTTTGTGAGAACCGTCGCTATTTTGTTTTCTCTCTTGCTGATCTCTCTCTTTTTATTTTCACGACTACGTGCGAATATTTCCTCGCCTTTGCTCAGGCTCGGTATCGGACGTGTTTCGTTTAAACGAGGAGAGCGGTAGTGGCGACTTTGTTGTTTGACGACGATTCCGTCGTCATTTCGTAAACGAACCTCGCATGTCCCGCGGTGCGGGACAAGCGTGTGTCACTCCGGCCGGTTTAATATTACAAATGATATCCATAGATTTTTATAGCGAGCTATTATAATCCGCGACAAGTAAAGAACGCAGAAAAATGATCTCTTAAATCATGGTTTTAAATCACTGTGACCAAAGAAAGCGGAGTTAACTCTCGGTTGAATATGATAATGTGACGCTGCGAATTATTATGACGGATAGAGGAACCTTAAGGAAATATTTTTTATATCAAGCCATTTTTCATTTTCCTCATCTTTTCACAGTTATTTTTGGTATCGATTAAGCTTTAGATAATTTTTATTTGAAATTTGACGTTATAATGATATATAGTATTGAAAATTTTGTAAAACGATAAGCGATATTTTATCCGAGCAAAAATTGGCCTCAAGCTGATCGTAATATTTGCAATTAGAAAACCGTGCGGTGGTTTTTATGTACCTTCGAAATATACATGTTTTGTATCTCAAGTCATGCGCGATACGATCGTGCAAATTGCCGCACTTTTTTCCGGAGCTCGGTAAAAGAAATTTACTTTTGCCGCTGAATGCGCAGCCCCCTTTTTTCGCGATCTACGCCCGAGATAAGCCGAATTCACACGAGTTCCGCTTGTCTAACAGAAAGATCGCATTCAGTGCGGGCGCGAGAGGAGAGTCGGGCAACTGCATTTAGCGCTAAATGGGCAGTGAGAATGTCGATTGATGAAGCTTTCGCACATGACATTTTTTCGCACGGGCAAGGCTGAAAGAATTGTTAAAAAGTTGACGGCACTTGTGCCAATTTTCCTGTTCGTGCATACGTCACTCTTTACTCACGGACCGAATAAAGCGAATTGAAATTACATGTTCGGAATTTTAGCAAAAAGAGATTTCCTGCAAAAATCAATTATCTTTACTTTATAAATACATTATTAATTTATATTATTTATGGTAATATAATGTATATATAATTCAGTTTCTAATTTTCTAATTATTTCGACTTTTATAAATTAAGTCAATCTTGTATATATTTTATACAGTGACTCGCATTAATATTCTGATGTGCGAGATATTATTGCTGTTATATTTGCTTATAAATAATGTTAACGAGGTAATTGTGATATCATGTATTAAAGTGAACATCGTGGTTGGAGAAAACATAAATTTTATTTATTTAATATACATATGTTTGTAAATAACAAAGTGAAATAATATACAAATTTCATGTCGCAAAAATATTCGGACACTAAACAAATTACATTAATTTCGTATGAAATATGCTTATTTAAAAATATTACAGTGAATATTAATACTTTGTTGGAAAACTATTTTGTTTAATAACTTCGTATAATCGCTTTGACATATTAGAAATAATTTTTTCTAAATATTCCTGCGTAATATAATACAGTTCCACTCTTCTATTAAATATTGATTTAATTCTATCTATTGTTCTTATGCATTTTTCAAATATTATGATTTAATTGATCCCATAAATTTTCAATGGGATTTAAATCCGGCGAGGGTGCAGCACTTTAGGATAATTATATATAGTAAATACTCTTGTACTAAACTTGATTTATGTTTTGGGTCATTGTTTTGATAATATTATATATAAAAACCATGGATACCCAATGGCAGAATAGCTCGAAAAAAACTTTTGCTTAAATTCTGTTTTAAAATATTTAGATATTTGCATTTGTCTAGAATGTCATCGATGAAAACTAATTCACCTACGCCTGCCATCGAAATACAATCTTATACCATTATACTTTCACATCCATGTTTCACTGTCGGTTTCAAATTTTTTATTTGGAATTCTTTATTTCGTTTACGTCAAACCATTTTACGCCCGTCTGATTCGAAAAAATTAAATTTGCTTTCATCAGCAAATATTACATTATTCCACCACGTTTAATCTTTTAAAATAAATTCATTAACGGAAGTCAATCTCTTCTTTCTATTTTTCTCGTTTATATACGGTTTTTTTCGAGCTATTCTGCCATTGCAGCCATGGTTTTCATATATAATATTAAAACAATGACCCGAAACATAATACAAGAATATTTACTATATATAATTGTCCTAAAGTGCTGCACCCAGTACCTCAATCGCCGGATTTAAATCCCATTGAAAATTTATGAGATCAAAATTAGATATTAATATTCGAAAAATATCCATAAAAACGGTACCAGTATTAAAACAATGTTTAATAGAAGAGTGGAACTGTATTACGCAGGAATATTAAAAAAAAATTCTAATATGCCAAAGCGATTACACGAAGTTATTAAACAAAATAGTTTTCCAACAAAATATTAATATTCACTATAATATTTTTAAATAAGCATATTTCATACGAAATTAATGTAATTTATTTAGTGTCCGAATATTTTTGCGACATGAAAATTGTATATTATTTCACTTTGTTATTTACAAACATATGTATATTAAATAAATAAAATTTGTTTTCTCCAACCACGATGTTCACTTTAATACGATGTCGATGATATCACAATTACCTCGTTAACATTATTTGTAAGCAAATATAACAGCAATAATATCTCGCACATCATAGTGTCCGAATATTAATGCGAGTCTGTAAGTGGTGTATTCACTTGTAGGAATTATCCTCCTTATTTTTATCGTCCGATATTCTCTCGAAACATTGTCTCCTGAATTGGTTCGTGTAGCTCGGGACTATAGTTTGCCACATTAAAGCGATTTTGTTCCCGGTACGATGTCGAGAGAATCTGTCCACCCGCAACTGTATCGAGTAATTTAATCGTGATAATTTGCCGTGTAGTACAATTATTGCGGAATTAACCGTGTCTCAAGGGCGCGCGGCTTTACCGAATTACGTTATGCGGCAACGTGATTATTACGACATTAATTTCGTTTTATGCTTCCTGCTTGCAGAGCCAAAGACGCGGAATAATTCGGTACAACGATTCACCTCGCCCTCGCCTCGCATCGCCTCGCCTCGCCTCCGACGAAGGAAAACAATCCCCCGTTATTAGACGACTGGCGAATAGCACGCAATAAGCGAAATCGCCGGACCGAAAGAAACGTAAGTACCAAGTATACAGCGAGTCGTGCTCTTTTTCTTCCGCAGGTACTCGCAGATTCTACGCCGATCTTTTGACGATCGTTTTCGAAACGAGTTTTCGTTCACGCCAATCGTATAGGGAGAATTTCTATTTCCCTCTCCCTTTTCTTCTCGTTATCGTTCCCTTTATCTGCGAATTCGATGTTGGTTTTCTGCATTGACAGTGAATGTAGAGTGTTTTGAGAGAGACGGAGAAAGGGACAAGCCGAAATAGGATTATCCAGAAACACGGGCTGCTTACTCAAACAGGCGCGAATCCAAACGTCTTCCGAATCGTTGTTCGCCTGATTTCTTGATTTATCTCGGTTCTCAGCGTTATTCGGTGGTTCTACTTATATTGCTGTCTGCGCGCGCGAAGGGCTCATAATTATGATTTATACCCTTTCCCCGCTATCTACTCGAAACGTTCCACGGTTTATGCATAATAGCGCGAGTTGTAATATACCGTTGCGGTGAGATAGTGCTCGAGACATTATTTCTATGTCTATCATCTATCACGGTGCGCTGCACACGGGCCAATTAATCTTAATTATACATTTGTGCGAATATTAACGAATGTCGGAGAAACGACAATTATTCGTTCAACTTTGCTTTGAACGACGTGACTCTTTTGTAACGTAATGGAGCGGTCAACATTTAAGGCTGTGTGAAAAAATATACATTCGAGAATTATACAGCGATCGGGAGGACGGCTCTTTCGATGTGTTTTTCGACATCGAATGCGCCAACCGAAGTTAAATTTTTGAAGCCACTTGCGCGAACGCGATTTGCCTCTCTATCGGCGCAATTTTTGCAATACACTTTTGAATACTCGCCATCGCTTACGCCCGAACTGGCCCGAGCTTTTCATCGAAAACAGAATAGTAGTCGACATGAAAGGGCAAAAGAGACGAAGAGCGAAAAAGAGAAAGAATAAATGGAGAGGCAGCATGTATGTTATCGAACAAATACGTCGATGTGTCGAGGCAGAATCGACATTCCAACTACTACCGCGCGTAAATTTTTATGCGCCAGACGGAAATTTGGCATGGTCGATCCCTCGCGTGGGTTTCCCCGGGAAAATAAAAATTCGTATGACGGCACACTTTGCGGAATAAACTTTCCGCGGTTTTAAGAAAGTGGAGAAGAGCGTAACCGTACATAAAGCGAGGTAAGGCTATCCTGTCTAAAATCAAAGAAGTGAACCAGATGAGAGAGGAAGTAAATGGAGTTCTTTGCTGAGAAATTACACCGGAAGCTTTAAAACGCCAGGTAAAACGACTCTTGATGGCATGTGTTTCTAATTACGTGGAGCTTTTCAAGATTTTCACATGTCCGACATTTGGTTTGAATCTCTTGAATTATTTTCGGTTATCGTAATTTTTTTTCTGGCGCGCAAGATTGTCCTCTAAAAGTGAATCAGTGTATTATCACTGAAAAACAGTAAATAGTCACTAATTACAGCAGTTATAAGTACAGCACTGTAAATCAGTGATATCTTATTGAAAGAATCAATTAATAATTTTGACTATTTCAATCAGTAATATTTCTCAGTATCGCTAATATTTCTTTCTATCGTCAGTAATATTAAATTATAATTCATCTCTTCACAATTTTCATTAAGTCGTCAGACATTTATTTGTCCGCTTTATATAAGATCGATTTAATACCTGAAGCCTCTCTATTGAGATTGTATCAGAAATTAAATTGAAGTAATACTTGTAATTTTATCTGTCACTCTTTCCAAACTTTATATAATTCTTATGACTAAAACTAAATACGAGAGAAATAGCGATAAACGAACAAACTTTCGATTACTGGTTTTACAGTGAAATTTACTGATTTTACTTTAACTGACCATAATCAGTGAGATAAAATAAGATAAAATAACAAAAAAATAAGCGTTGTAAATCAGTAAAATACTCACTGATTCTCAGTGAAATCTTATTTTACTGTTTAAATTAATAATATTTTCACTGATTCACTTTTAGAGAGCACATTTTAGCGGAAGCGAGCAGTTACACAAGTTTCTCCCCCCTCTCTCTCCCCCCGTTATTTCTTGCTCAAGTTGATATAAATTGGAATCTCTCCTTAAGTGCACGCTGAGGCGAACCTCTCTTTTTGGCATATCGAGTTATTATTGTCTTCCCCTCTCCCGCTCCTCCCACCGTGTAGAATCGACTAGGGACAAAAAATGGCTAGCGGCGGTTCATAAATGGGCAAAAATTTCAAACCACATTTTCAGGCCCGGCGAGCTCGTCGTATACTTTAGTAATTGTCTTCGAAGCTCGCGCGCGCTTTAATACGCCGTCGAAAAAATTAGGTAATTAAGATGACCGCCGCACACGCTCCGTTCTACCGCTGTTGCGCCCTCGGTCTTTCGCCTCTTTCGTCGGGACGATGTTTTTACCAAGCTGGAGATGCCGCGACCGCTATGATATCGCATGCCGGCGGAATTTTTGATGCTGCACTCGTCCTATACGGATACGGATGTCCGCCCTAGTGCCTAATTTCACGATTCTCAACCCTCAGCGGGGACCACACCAATCCGCACGAGAGGCCTTTCGGGTCCCGTGACGCAAGAAAAACGTTGTCGGATAATAAATAGTAAAACATAAAAAATGAAGTCATCTTCCTCTTAAATACGGTCATACGAAATCCCATTGTACCGGAAAATGATACCTGCTGAGAGTGAAAGCCATTAGGTAGCGGAGAAAGTGGACAGTTCTCAACACCAGACGATTTTGAATAACAACCTTTCTCCGGGGATCAGATTCGAATGGCGAGCCATCATTTTTTTTTTCGGGCAAAAACTGTAGAATACTATATTGGTCACGCGCGACGCAACTTTTGTGACAAAAAAATGACATTTTCAACCATGAGTTTCATTTATCGCTCATAAATAGAACTCGTAATTCAAGAATATTGTTATTTTAAAAAAATCTCTCCCTGATATTTAAAAATAATTCTTTTTTTAATTTTTGATTGTATATTATCACTAATTATTAACACTAATTATTAATCACTTTGCATCTAATATTTTTATTAACTTTCTATGTACAAAATGATAAATTATTATTCTTTATTAAATATCTAATTGAGTGCGCTCTCGAGCAATTTAGAATTCGTAATAAAAACGTACGTTGTAAAATTAAGCTAAATTATTCAGCGAAATTTTAACAGAATTTTTAAATTCAAAAGAGGGCTTTTGCTACAATGATATTTAATGTTGAATTGGAAAGAATGCTGAAAAAATGTAAAACTTTATCAAGACTTTATTTAACAAATAGCAACTAATTCTTAGAGCAAAGAATTCAGAATTTTTCAATGTGTATGCATTATATTTTTTTTAATGTTTCATAAACTTTTTTCTCTCTCAATCCACTATTTTGTATTCTTTTACTTGGTGTCGTTGGAAAAAACGTCTGAAAAAACGTATTCTTGCTATTGTAACGACATAAAAAAAACGGTAGTTTCTCCGTCATCAAAGCTGTGATTACGTATAAAAGGAAAGGATTATACTTGAGGTAATACAGACGTGTATAGGAACAATGAAAAGTCGTCATCAGAAAGAGAAAAAGAGACGCTATTTTATTACAGGAGTGAAGATAACTTTCAGTGTTTCTCCCAAACATGTCAGACGGAGAGAAATGTAAAAAAGTGTGAGCGTAAAATATACAGGTTACTCGAAAACGACGCGTTGCGTCTGTGCGGGAAGGAATGATTCGGTCGGGAGTCTGAAATCTTGGATGCTTCGTGGGAAGTGCCTTGGACGAGGGGGAAGGTCCGGGATTTCGGTTATCGAGCGCGAAAATGTTGGAGGGAACGGGAGTGACATATCGCCAACGGCGAAGAAGATCGAGATGGGACGCGTCTCAGGCGATAACTGGCGTGATTCCAATAGACAAAAGCGAGCAGGGGTAGCGAGAGGGCGAAATAGAGGCGGACACGACACCCGAAAACGGGTCCAGTCATTCTCCCGAAATAGACACCTGGATGGAATGCCGGCTCTCGGAGAGCTAGAGAGCTATTCCCTCTACCCGGCCTGGCGTTTGTATCCGTCTCTCTCTTCCTCCTTCTCTCCTCCGTATCTCGTCTCGCTCCTTGTCTGTATGCGCACCCATTATCCTCGACTATCATTAAACCCGGGCACTATGGTCGAATTTTGGATAACCGATCAGTAGGCTTTAATAAAGAAATGATGCTGTACGTTATGCTAATGGCACTTTGGACTGTTTCGACTTATATATGATAAGTAACGAGATATATACTCTCTAACAGTCAATCAGAGTATTATCACTGGAAAACAGTTAATAGTTACTGATTACAGCAGTTATAAACGCAGCACTGTAAATCAGTGATATTTTATTGAAAGAATCAATTAATAATTTTGACTGTTTCTTCAATCAGTAATATTTCTCAATATCAGTAATATTTCTTTCGTTATTGTCAGTAATATTAAACTACAATTCATCTCTCTATCTATTTCATATAAAATTAAAAATTTTATTTATATTTACTAAATATTTATTATATTAACAATTTTATTTTATTTATATTACATGTATATTGAACTTGTTATTTTAAGTAGATAACGGACGAATTATTTTCATTAAGTCGTCAGACATTTATTTGTCCGACTCATAAGATCGATTTAATATCTGAAATTAAATCGAAGTAATATTTTTAATTTTATCTGTCGCTCTTTGCAAACTTTATATAATTCTTATAACTAAAACTAAATACGAGAGAGATAGCGATCGTAGCGGTAAACGAACAAACTTTCGATTACTGGTTTTACAGTGAATTTTACTTTAACTGACCATAATCAATGAGATATAAAATAAAATAAAAAAATTAGCGTTTCCACTGAAGATCAGTAAAACACTCACTGATTCTCAGTGAAATCTCATTTTACTGTTTAAATTAGTGATACTTTCACTGATTCACTTTCAGAGAGTACAGATAGGCATAAGATTACA